AGAATAAAAAGTGTCAAATACTGGGGAAGGTGTGCCATAAGCCTGATACTTCTGCTTGGTTGAGTGTGTGAGGATAACCAAGCAGACTACACAATGAACAGGGCAAACACACATATAAGGGACACCTTACTAATGCCAATCAACTTATATGCAACTTTGGACTGTAGGAGGAAAAACCCACATAACCACAGGGTATAAAATACTTATCTACACTGAAGATCGGTTCATCCCAGGCCAGAACCAAGCATTGCAAGGCAACAATACTAAATACCACAGTTTAAGGAACAACTGGGAGAGGGTTTATACTGCCAATACCCCACATGTTAGTGTAGGAGGCGGTTGTTCATTTCCCAGTGCTCCAAATCCACAAGTGAACGGCTAGGGATGTGGGCAGTAACAACCCTTTGCAAATGAGAGGTGATCCCTGTGGATTGTGTGGTGCAGCCAGGGGCAGTTAACTTGATGTACAGTACCAGTCTCTGAGCCTGAGATACCCTGAGCAAAGTGCACAGAGATCCTCATTTAGGTTATCACTCAGATAAGTGGAAAAAAATGGAAGCTTCCTTGGTAGAACACTGGCCGCCTTTAGTCCTAGATTCTCCCCAATGGAGGTAAGTACACTGTGCCAAATCCTAAGTACAGTTTTGGGCTTGTCTGTCTTAGTCTGGGCAGTGACTTGTCAGTGTGGACAATCCTGAATCATTGATCCTAGTGTAAGCCACTTAAAAAAAGCATATTAAAAGCTGTAGTCATTCTACTAATGTTATTTTTTCCTTGAATTTTTGGTGCTGTAAAAAAATTGGCTTGCGTGCTGACTGTCTTTCTTTCTGGATATGTCCTGGGTATGCCCTGTCCCTCGCAGAAATGATTTTCTTGTTTCTTTTTACTTTTCACCAGATTTTTGAAGCACAACTTTTAATTTGTTTCATTAATAAGTGGAATTCAATCATGACGATAGCAATCCTCACTACTCGATCATGCCTTTTCCTGAAAGGTTATTGATGTGGATTTGATGCAGCTATTCTTGACAATTTTAACTCAACTAAAGTCAACTCGCTAGCAAACAGTGCTTTTATTAAATCACATAATTTAAGTCCTGTACTTTATTATCTGAAGCACCAATACTTCAAAAACTGTCATCAAACCCATTTATTCTATATTTAAAAAGTAAATAACACTGTGGATGTTACAGGGCTTAGCGGCACCAGGCATGTTTCAGAATAAGGTTACCCTCTTGAGACCTAGACAGTGCAGGATGCAGAATGCAGGAGACCTGGTCTTGCGGGATAGTGGAGTTTGCCACTGTCTGGGGAGTGGGATTCTGTGTGCTCTGAACCCATGAGTGTCTGAGATTCAGTTCCACCTGGTGCACAATATAGCTGTACACATTTTACATGTGCACACTGAACCACTGATGTAAAATGCAGACTGTTGTATTTCCATTGAGCATCCCTGCTTATTGTGTGATGTGTTTCAATCAAGGTGAATACATATTTTCATAACTGTTGACTGTATGTGTTTACTATACCTTTAAAATTATATTTAATTTAAGGACCATGTGCACCAGTAATTAGCAGTGAGTCAAATTATGTTAGTATGCACAGTGCCTACAAAGGTATTTGCAATGTATTTATTTATCACTCATTCAAATTAGAAAACTAAGAGACAGAAGTAAATAGATCATTTATATGAAAGAAAATGGCAAAGAATTTAAACCTTTTGCTGTGACAAATCTAAATAAATTGAGGTGCACAAAATAACCTAAATAAGTCATACAATTAGTCGAATCACCTTTGTCAGTATGAAGTAATAGTGGTTCACTTGATTTCAGAATAGATATACTTATGTTATGACCCCAAGTGTCTAGGGGTAAAGGGGTGTAACATTTAGGATAATTTTTGGATGCAGGTGGGTTCTGGTGAGGGTCTTGGGAAGTGTGATAACAAGGGTTGGTGCAAAAAGTGATCATTTTAAGGTGAAAAAGTGACTGGTATGAAATTAGACACAATAACACACAGGGTGAGGGAACTAGAGTGGTGCCAAAGAAAAGAAAATAACAAACAAAATTGAGCTGGCTAAGAAAGTGAGGGAAAGCTAACAAAAGAAAACCCGAAACATTCAGTCTTCGGCGTCTTCAAACACCCTAGCTAACCTCCACTGACTACCCAAAACCATACAAGACAAAAGGCACTCTAGACAAAATTGGCTTGTCTAGGTCCTAAACTTGTGTTACTAGTACAAAAATCAACTACGTGTGTGCAAAATGTACCCAACATAAGTGAACTACGAATACAAACAAGAATAGACAAGTAACAGGGTAAGTAACCGAGGTCAAACGAAAGGCCTCTTCCTTTTGAAAGCCTCCATGTTTTATACTGAATAAGATGAGTTGTGATTGGTCGAGAAGCTAATTGAAGATGATGTCTTATGGAAACAGTAGTGTAATGATGGACCAATGGGGGAGGGAGAACAATCAAAGTCAGAAGTGTGGAACATAGCAACAAAAACACACATAGACCACACACTGGGACGTAACAACTAATCATTGTAAAGTACTGTACCTCACTCCAGTACTGAATTTCAAGCAAAGATTCAACCACGAAGACAAAGGAGCTTTCAAAACAACTTGAAAATGTTTTATAAAGGCATAGATTAGAAGAAGAGTATAAAAAAAAACATTTCAAAGACCCTTAATATCTCTTTGATTATGGTGACGTTGATCATTAAGAAGTGGATAGCTCCCAACACTGTCTAGATCAGGCTGTCCCTACAAACTGAGCAGACGGTAAAGAAGGAAACTGATTAGGTATGCAACCATGAGGCCAAAGACAGATGTTGAATTGGATGAGATGGGAGAAAATGTGTCAATAAAAGCTGGTCACTCTATAAAGCTGGTCTGTATGGCAAAATGCAAAACTCATCTCAAATTCCAAATTGTGTTTGCAACGAAGCATTTAAGTGATAGTGCAAACATGTGGCAAATGACAAAATTGGAACTTTTTGCTCTAAATGCAAAGTGTTACATCTGACACCCAAGAAAGTGCATCTGTCACAAATTCAGCTCTCTTTGCCACTGCCAGGATTAAATCCTGGTCACTCATAAGCTTCAACCAATGCTCTGTAGACAGCAGACAAGTCCACATTGCCAAAAGGCTGGGTACACAACAGGAGAATTATATACTATACCAGTTATGAATACATCTCTATCCTGTTCCTGCCAGGATTCAATCCTAGCAGCTAGCCTACTCAGAATCATACTCCACCAGTCAATAGTCAGCACAGAATTTCCCCAAACCACTAGACCAGGTCTACTACTGCAGCATAGATTTACATGGGCAACATTTAGAAAGGTAGTGATGTCACTCACTAATTGAGGCCTGATATAAATCACAAACTTGTGGCTGTAATTGCTGACAAAGGTGCTCTTACCAAACATTGAGCTCACAGGTCTGAATACTTATGCAATCAATATATTTGAGTTTGTTTTATTTTGAGGTATTTACTGTAACATATCTTACCTTTAGAAGACTTCAGTTTGAGCATTCAGGTCCATCTATCCATTTTCTAATCCACTAGAGGGTCGCGGGGAATACCGGAGCCTAACTCGGCAAGCAATGGGGTACACCCTGGATGGGACTGCAGTCCATTGCAATCCATCGCAGGGCACACACACACACAGAGACACACACCAGGGTCAATTTTACAGAAGCCGATCAACCAGCCAGTATTAACCAATGTATGTACAGAGCACCTGGAGGAAAACCATGTGAACATGGGGAAAACAATGGCAAGCCTGATACATTTCTTACGTTTTAAAAAATAATGTATTTGGATTTGGTTTTTATTGGAATGGTTTGCTTAAAATCATATAATAAATGATGATATGGAAAATATGAAGACATTCACATTGTTGATATGGTTTTGAGTGCATTATCAAAATGTAAGACAGTAATATGGAAATGAGCTGGACAAATAAAAAGAACAGGTGGACCAAGGAAATGTTGAACTGGATCCTAAGGGTCCAAACACATCCAAGCAATAGACTTCCTGTAAAAGAGCCAGATACGTCAGCAAGTTCACAATAGCAAACAGGATGGAACTATTAAAGTCACACATTTGTGGATGTCTTGAAGAGGAATCCATCTGTGGATCCATAAAGGCTGAGAATGATTTTGATATCCAAACAAAGAAATGCAGAAAGAAGAAAAAATGTGTTTCAGTTGTAAAGTGTTCTTCAGGTGTGTGTTGCTCCACAGAAAACTTCTGAAACATAATAACATTATTGTAGAAAAAATATTTAACAAGTTCTACTGCTCACATAGTGTATGATATAATATTTAATAAAATTTAACATCAAAATTGTATAATTAACTTATACATTTTAATAACTTTGACCAGGTAAATGTAATGTTTCTGTACATGTACTGCAGGAAGTTTAGGGCAAGTGTAATATAATTATTATAATGTAGTCACACCTACTGTAATTTTTGAAAATATTAAAATGATTGCGTCTGGGTTTAATATACACATTTGCACACGTTTAAAACTGAAGACAATATGATGCAATTCTTTATTGTTTCGGAGGGTAATCTACAAATGCCAAAATATTCTTTTAATCTCTCAGAAATTAATGTGGGAGAACATTCATACTTGAAATCGGCTTTGCTTGATAAAAGGAAGGGTCGTTTTAACTGATTACTACCCTTAACTGTGAAAAGTAAACGACAAGAAAAAGTCTGATAGACTGATTGGACACTGTAGGCCTATTCAGCAAATAAATATGGGGAAAATGGAAGTGTGAATGACGTTTAACACTTCCATTTTATTGTCGAACTGGATAGCTTTCCCCCTGTAGAAATGCTCTCATTTGAAATCTAGTGTCGGTTAAAATGCTTTAGTTCCTCATTTCCTTAAGCATGCCTGTAACTTGATCGGCAATTTCCTGGGTTGAGTTCCCCTTTAAGGGGGCAGCGCTCAGTGCTGGGAATTCACGTCATTTCAGCACTTAAACACCCAGATCAATGAGCAAAGCGTTGTTTGCCTTTCAGTTTCAGTCTTCCAGGAAGAAAGTAACCAGTAGATCAACAAAATGTAGTAAAAAAACAAAAGAGGGAAACAAAGTAAATGTATTTATTTTTTAATTGCTACGCAAGTTAAAAAAAACAAAATAAATAAACTTGTGTGCTTTTCTCTGTTGGAATCCACTACAAGTAGACGGATGTGGATGATTTTCTGGTTTATTTCAAGGAAAAAAAGGGGAAAGGAAAGTGGAAAAAAGGAGAACTTCCTGAATTGTGTAAGACATGTCTGAAGCTTCGTTGCAGCTTACAATTAAGGTATTTACGGATTCTTTAAACATGCTTAACTTTTGAAATGTGGACACTGGGTAAGATGCACTTTACAGCAACAAATCGCTGATAAAAGAAGCGTTTGTTATCATCTGTTGCAGGAGGAGCTTTTTTTTCACCATACTGTACACGGCGCTTGGTAAGTGTGCCATGCTGGGTTAACTGATTCAGCTATGCATCTGAAGTGTGTGAGTGCGCGCATTCACGTTGTATTGTTCCATAGACTTCACCGTATAATTCTACCGTATAGGAAAGCTAAAATCCGATCCACTGTTGAACGTAGATACAACGTTAAAGCACACTTTCAAGTTTAAATTCTGTTTAGCTACTGTATTCTCAGAAAAATGAGAAAACCACTGGATTATTATTTTCAAGAGTATTTGAATATTTGTTTCCCCATACAAATACAGATCAGGCGTACTGCTCTACTTTGGGAATTGTGATATCATTATTTAAAAGACAAAGTTTAATATTTGTCTTTTGACCTGCATCTTGTTTTGATATCGTCACAGACTTTCTGTATTCGAAGGATAAATAAAAATAAATGCTCTCGGTAACATCCTAAGACTAAGGAATAATTTCAGATTAATTTTTCACTTTTTAGACTGATATGCAGACGTTAAACAGAAATTTGAATACCTTAAAAGTTCTGCGGGAGAGAAAAGCTGCTTATGTTTTGTTGCTTTAAACAAAATGGTTGACATTTAGTGTTCGACAGTTAACCAGCTTTGTAATATATATATATTAATTTACTACGCTCACTGCACTCAGAGTTACTAATTTATGAGATCACTAGCTGACCAGTGAACACGTTACTCAACTTCACGGCAGGCAGGATTTGAGAAGGGGGGAACTTCCTGAGCTTTGCTGGGGGGTGGAGCGTGATGGACATTTTTCTGAAGGATTGAATGGATAGTAGCAATGGTTCTAGGTTGATCTCTGAATATTGAATCGAATTACAATTTTAAACGCTGGCATGAGAAATGATTAAACATTTAAATTCTCGTTCATTCCTGATCTGGAGGTGTAAGCTGTAGTTCAAAATCAAAACTTGCGGTCTTAAGTACAATTTTGGGGACCAGATGGGGCAGTAGGGGTGATTTTTTACTTTACATTAGTTTCTAATGTATGGGTAAAATAAGAAATTGCATATCTATAAATAGTGTGTAGAAGCTGTCCTGCCTGAAAGTATTGTCCTTTATGGTATTCAAACATGGTGTCTGATTAACTGAGTGGCCTTTTGTCATTCTTGAAGATGTAGTGATCACCCTCAGTGTGAAGTATTCAAAAGGTCGTTTCAAAAGTGCTAGTTGATTATAATGTTAAGATGTTGAAGAACATGAAGTAAACTTTTCCACTGTTGTACATGAAAATATTTTTTTTTGTACAATAATACACTAAGGATGTTGTGTCTTACTATAGTACGTAAAAACAAATTACTTAAAAAATGAAAAACAAAACTCTCATTTCAAGTTACAATTCCATTTTACCAAGATGTAAAGGCATTATTTTGTTGTAAAACACAAGATCTGAAGTAACAGTTTTACTTTTAAAGTAGTTAATGCTGACAAGAGTGAAGTTATCTTTGTTTCTGGGATGTGTCCATGATTTCCTGGTTTTGATTTGTACAGTAACACCAATTATATCTGTCTAGGTGATCCCTTTCTTTCTAAATTTCAGTTGATCTGATTAAAGTAAGAGATTAAGTTGTTTGTACTTTTGGTGAAGTAATACTTAATCAAAGTGTACTGCAGGAGTTTTGTGTCAATTTATAACCACATAGTTGATCATCAAATATGTTGTTAATTCTCAAATATTTTTTTTTATTTAAAGTTTTCCCTCTGTGTTTGGAAGAGACCTTGTCTATATCTGTTTTTTTCAACTTGTCTGCTTCATCTGCTTACTTACCTGACAGCCTGTCTGTTTTGATTTATGATGTCCTCCTGGAATAAACAAGAAAGTGGATTACCTGTCAGAAGCAAAGTAACAATTAGTTGTTAGTCCCAAAATTCTTGACTAGTTGCATGGATTGCACGTGGCTGCAAACCTATGAATCATTTAGCAATATGCCACTTTTCCCCTGGGGAGTTATCTCGGCAAAACCTACCTCTATCTCCACAAATTGTCCAGCTTCATCAAGTAGAGTTTAAGGGACAGCAGGAAAAAGTTTTCTGAGGGAGGGGCTATCGAACGTATACCCTTTTCCTTATGTGCAAGTAAGCAAGCTTTCAGTGAACAAGGGAACATTTGGCCCATCTTGCTCCTTTTATTATTGTTTATTAATTCAAAATATTGTTTAGCCTTTTCTTGAAGAAGCACATGGAATCAACTTAAACAACATAACAGGAAAGTGTGCACTTGGTTCCCACAAACCTATATATAAAGAAATGTTACCTACCTTTAGTCTCAAATTCACTCTATGTTTCCCCGATCTGCTTGGGTGCTCATTGCACTGTTGCTCCTCAGGGTTGACTTTGTTTATACCTGTCAGGACTCTGTGCTGCCTTCATTATTCAAGACAAAATATTGAGCTTCTAAACAGTGATTATTGAGCTGTCTGTCTAAGACTTTCTGTGAACCTATCTGCCTTTTAGAAGATCATGAACCACTACACAAGCACCACACCTTGACAATTCTTATTTTTTTCTTCTGCAGGAGGCAGGGACTACTAGTAGTTGTGTTATAAAGAGGCAAGGTGCCTTCCTTTCTCTTAACGCATGAATGCAGAATCCTTACGCCAATGAGGACAGTTTTAAACTGTGTTAAAGAATTTTGATCTTTGTTGTAGAAAAAGAGAGGACGAAAATGAAGTTTAACATATTAACCTTTGTGAGAAGTGGAAACTGCATATTAGTCTTGAGTGACAACATGTTCAAAGAGATATTCCAACAAAACCTTTCCATGTTAATAACTACTTCTGCAGCTGACATAGAAAGTGGTTTGGTATTGTTTCAAACATTACAAATAATACAATCTTGTTTTTTTTTATATGTCAACATTAAAACACATATTGTGATTCTGCAACCTTTAACCTTACCCAGGTTGGATTACATAACCTTGGATTTTTATAAGCACTTCATGTACCAATAATAAAAATAAACTTATATCTTAGAACTGGAACACATTCAGAATGTTATCAGGAAAATCACAATATTTCTGAAGCAGGTGCATTGACATTTTACTTACAGACAAGATTTAGGTAAATTAATTATGCTAATTCACATTTGTATTAAATGTGGTCTTATGTGAAAGTGACCCAATAGTATTATGTTGCTAACTTTGGAAGCAATACTGGCTGTACATTTTTTAGAGTGTGGTGCATACTTTGAGCCAAGTTGCAGATGCTGTCTTATTGGATTTTATCATATTCCTCTTGTACAGACTGGACAATCAAAAGACCAGAGACTTTTTACTAGTGTCCGAAGCCTAGATTTAATTAACCTTTATTGCCCTTAAGTTATTTTCTCTTGCACATGAAGAGCTCATAAACATAACATTGTCATATAACACATATGACAATAATACAATACAACAACAGCACAGTACCTCGATACAAAACAACATTTAACAACATTGCTCTGTCAGAAGTCAATCCAGTCTCATAAGCTTAAAAATAGATTTACCTGCTAAAGTGTCTAAAACAACAACAACAACAACAACATTTCTACCAGCAAATTATTTTTTTCAGTGTTCAACAACTGAATGCTTTAAGGTTTAAAGCAAGTAAGTGCTCACTTAGCCTTTATACAGTGGATCTGGTATCTCTTCCTAGAGGGTATGAATGTATATTCTAAAAAGAATGGATGAGAGGGGTCATCTAAAATTGTATGTACAAGATTAAATATGTTTCTCCATTAGACATTATTGAGTCCAAGGATATGTCAGTAAATTTTTGTTCTCCCAGGACATGGCATCTCCCCAGCTCTGAATAAAAAAGTTAGAATGCCCTGAATAAAACATATAAAAAGTCAACATTTTTCTTGCTACTTTAAAACTTCTTAACTTTTTTAAACAAAAATTGGGGAACATGATGGTGCTGATCACTTCCATTAGCTCACTCATGCATACTGTCACTTATCTTTGATATGGATTTATCTTCCTACATATGTATTGGATATGTGTATTAATACATAGATATTCCCTTGTTTACATACAAAGTCTAACAACATCAATGTCTGAAATCAGTTACTGGTAAGAAAACTGTATTTTTACTTGGTAAGTGTATGATATACTCCCATATCCAAAAGCTTCTCTACCAACGTTTGCATCCAGAGTGTTAAATACTGACAAAAAGTCAGCAAAAAGTATGTGCACATACTGTCACATACATACTGAGGTTCTAAATACTTGCAGACTTGATTTAACAAGATGGCAGCTCCTCATTTTACCCTGTATGCAGACTGATAGGAGTCCTTTAGTGCACTGGTTGCACTGAAATTCATTTAATATACTGTACCCTCCAAAAGTATTGGGTCAAAACCCCATGTCATTTTCCTATTGTGCGCACAAGAGATTAAAGTTCACATGAAACAAATTATTCTGAATTGGAATCACTTTTTATTTTTAGAAAATATGTTGCAAACACACTTAATCATTATTCAACCAAAGCATATGTTGTATGCAGTCCGTCAAATTTAGGTGACCAAAAGTGCTGGGACTCTGAACTTAAAGCAAATTGAAGGAGCGAAAAAGTCAGTGTTTTGTTGAAAATCCCTTGCTTCCAATAACTACATCAATCCCTTGTCCAATTGACATCACCAGATTTTTTGTTTCTTCGCTTGACATGCTTTGCCAGGCTTTAATTGCAGCATCTTTAACTTGTTACTTGTTGGTTGAGCTTTCTGCCTTCAGTCTCCTTTTGGGAAAAAATGAAATATATGCTCAATTGGATTTAGATGTGGTGATTGACTTGGCCAGTCCAAGATGTTGCTCTTTTTCTGTCTGATGAACTCTTGTTTTAAGGTGCAGTATGTTTCGGTTCTTTGTCC